TGGTTTTTTATGATATTTTTTTTACTACACATATGTATATGTATGCGTATTTATATATTTACTTGTTTAATGAATTATTTATGCAGAAGTAAGCGAAAACAGTTGTTGGCAAAAGTATGGGGTGTACAATGAGCCAAGAGGAGAGGGCTGCCCTCGAACGATCAAAGCAGATTGAGAAGAATTTAAAAGAAGATGGTTTGCAAGCAGCAAAAGATATTAAATTGTTACTTTTAGGTTGGTTTACTTTTACTTTTCAACTGTGTGGGCACATAAGTTTTGTGGGTAATTTTTACAGAATTTAAAAAAAAATGTTTATTTTTTCAGCCATTTTCAATTCATTTTCTTGTTGGAAACTCAAATTATTAAAACGAATGATAATGTAAAGTTAAAGTAATATCATTCTTCTTTCTGCTTGTTTTTTTTTTTTTTTTAATAGAACTGTTCGTTCAATATATTTTAAACAGAAAGAAATATTAGCGGGCATATATTATAAGGTTTAGCAGCTTACTCGAGCAATTGTTTTAGGCGCAGTGTTTATACAGCAATAATGGGTTACTGAAGAAATCTTAAATTTCATTTAGAAAAAAATTTTTTTGTTTTTACAACGGGTATTTTTTATTATATAAACAACACAATTAAATTTTTTATACATTTATATGCACATGTTTTCTTTTGTTTAGGAGCTGGTGAATCTGGTAAATCAACAATCGTCAAACAAATGAAGTATTTATCTGTTTTCTTGCCTCTTTCTCATTATTATTACTTCCTTTTCCTACCTTTTCGTGAAAAAAAAATTTGGCCGTGCTAAAAAATTCTGTTCTTTTTAAACGTTTAAAACCGACAAGATCTATTACAGAATTATTCATGAATCCGGTTTCACAGCGGACGACTACAAACAGTATAAACCAGTGGTGTACAGTAATACAGTACAGTCTTTGATAGCTATACTTCGAGCTATGAGCAGCTTATCTATTGATTATGGAGATAATGATCGAGAGGTAAATGCTGTTTGTCAAACAATTAATTAGGAAGTATGACTTTTTTATTTGAAATTTTATAATGACAATCAAAGTTTGTCAAGCTCAAATTCTTAAATTTGTAACACTCGTTCACAGAAAAAGTCGACTGTTTAGGAAGATGCTAAATTAGTTATGGATGTTGTGGCAAGAATGGAAGATACGGAACCATTCAGTGACGAATTGCTGGGAGCAATGAAACGACTTTGGGAAGATTCTGGTGTACAGACGTGCTTCTCACGATCAAACGAGTATCAGTTAAATGATTCTGCTAAATAGTATGTTTTATCATATTTATTTCTGCTTTTTTTGGATTTAGTAAACCTCTTTGCTGATTTCACTTCTATCAAGTTTAGTGCTTGCTCACAGTTACACTATTAAACATTACATTGATGATTTGAATTTAAAACCTTAAGTGGGTTTTTTTTTAAGTTTTCTGGACGATCTAGATAGATTAGGACAGCCAAACTATCAACCAACGGAACAGGATATACTACGAACCCGTGTAAAAACTACTGGAATTGTTGAAGTTCACTTTACATTTAAAAATCTCAACTTCAAGTTAGTTTAAGTTTGATATCGATTAATTGAATGTCAAAAATATGTATAGGTCTTGATCGTTTTCAGTAGCATTTTTCTTTGTTGTTTTTTTATTGCTTGACACTTTACGGTGTATTTTTGAACTTTCTTTTAATATTTGACAAAGATTTAATGAACTTATATCTGTCGTATTCCAAATGATGTACTGTTTGCTGATGCCACAATTTAGGTTGTTTGATGTCGGTGGGCAGCGTTCAGAACGAAAGAAATGGATTCATTGCTTCGAAGACGTTACTGCAATCATCTTTTGTGTTGCTATGTCAGAGTATGACCAAGTCCTTCACGAAGATGAAACTACTGTAGGTTTTTCTTTAGGATTCGGATTAGTTCAAAAGCAATAATACAGTTCTGGTTAGCACGGGTAAATAAGCTTTTTAAAACCTTATTTGAATACTACATTCGGATGAAATGTTTAGGAGCTGATTTTTTAAACAAACTCAGTAAAGTAGTTATATAACATTGCTGTTTAATTATAGAATCGTATGCACGAGTCTCTAAAATTATTTGATTCAATTTGCAACAACAAATGGTTTACTGATACGTCAATTATTCTATTCTTGAATAAAAAAGATTTATTTGAAGAAAAAATAAAGAAATCGCCACTGAATGTTTGCTTTCCCGAATATACAGGCAAGTGCTTTTTCTTTTGGCCTTAATTCACTTTTTCGTTTTCTCTGGCCAGTTATTATCAGGGTACTAGAATGGTGTTTATGCAAACGATTTTAGGGGTATCGAAAAAAGCTAAGTTCAACCACTTTATTATTAAAAAAATGGAAAAGTAAACAGGAAAGATGTATTAAGGTGCGGGCGGTAGTTTGATTAGGGATTAATAATGGAATCGGCCAAGACACTTTGAATTTCTTTCTTTCCTTTTTTTGCTGAGTTTATGGTGTTGACTGAAGGAAGAAAACGACTGTGATAGCCAGACAAAAAGGAAGAATTTGTCCTTTATTGAATACTCATAGAAGTTACACTGCACTAGTAGCCTTTTTTAGTTCTTTGACTGGAGATTATTTAGTTTGAAGAAGGAAATTTGGGAAAAGGTACTAATCGAAGTAGAAGTATATATTAAGATCAAAGCAGGACGGACTTTAGATTAATTGTGTATGATATTGTCATTGAGCATTGATTCGAATTGATAGCGACTTGCTTGGTACCAAATAAATACAGTGGAAAAACGTAGTTCAGATTTTCCTCTATGTTTTCAGGTCGAAATGATTATCACGAAGCGAGTGCTTATATTCAGGCTCAATTTGAGGCCAAGAATAAGTCAACGAATAAGGAAATCTACTGTCATATGACATGTGCAACGGATACCACAAATATACAGTTTGTATTTGATGCCGTCACTGATGTGATCATTGCCAATAATTTGAGGGGATGTGGTCTTTATTAAAATGAATGAAAAAAAAAGAAAGGGAAAACAAAATAGACAGAATTGGGGAAAAAGAAGAGAAAGAAAAGGAATTATTGAAAATAACATGATATGAATTTGTTGTTTAATTTTTTTCTTATTTTCTTTTTAATTTTCTTGTTTTAAATTCTTACTTTTTGATGTTTATTTGACTTTCAGTTTTCTATCATCAAAAATTGTTACGTTGTTGATGCCTCTTTTTTGTCTTGTCTAAAAAATCATTTATTTCCTTTCGCAGCATTACCACATTTTTTTGTGACTTAAAAACCTAATTCTTTATGGTAATTAAGAGAGAGAATGTATTCTTTCTCTTCTTCTGATGGTTTCGGAAGTTAATGTGTTAACTAGTCTACTGTCTGTTCCTCGCCGTTATCATCTTCATAATCGTCGCTTCGTCTTCATCTTCTCTGTTGTCTTCATCTTCTTTTTCGTCATCATCATCATCGTCGTCGTCATCATCATCTTCTTTTTTTTTTCCTTCTTCTTCTCTAATCACTATTTCAGATAGTCGGTTCTGTGTACTTAAAATTTTTTTTGCTGGTTCGTATTTGCTTTGCACCATCTTAGGTTGAACTGTTATCAAAAAATATTATGGTACTTCTTGGTGGATTGGTTATTAGGCAAAAAATCATTCTTTTTTTTTTTTTTTTTTTTTTTTTT